TTATACATATTGGCCACATAAGAGATGAATCCGTAAAAATGACTAAAATAAGACAGTAAAAAAATAAACGTTGAATGTTTGAGAACATCTCAAATGAAGCCAGAGCGGTTTAGACGTGTTTGAACGAGCGGCAGCTTTTTGGAGCAGCTGGAGAATCGAGACAAGAACAGACAGATGAGCGGGAGACAGAGATCCGCTGCTGCTTCATTCACGTATGTGTGAGCGTGTCCTGACGTGGTGGGAATAAATAAATAAAGGGACGAACAAAGGTCTGGGAGGAGTTTAGTGGAGGGAGAAGCCAAGAGGAGAGAGCCCGACCAATCACGATGGACAGTGAGACACACACACAGGAAGTAGAGTCCAAATAAAGACGAGGATGGAGTTGCATTAACATTCAAGCTGCCGAAGCCAAATTAGATCATGTGTAACGTAATGAAACAGCTTCTACGATCTTATTTGTATGATTGACGTTCGTCTTGGACAGACGAGGAGACATTTCAATGTCTCTCAATCCTATTTTCTTCAATAAATGTCTTTCAATTAAAAATCAGTGAAGAAACAAAAGGGACAAAGTGAACACTGGACAGAGAGGGGACAACGTGACTATGATGCTTAAAAGGTACAGAAATATAATTATCATTAGCTCTGAGGAATAAAACAATATCCAGAATAAGACTTGTCATTGTTTTACTGTGAGCGATGAAAGATTAAACATTAATTATTGAGGAACTAAGATTAAACACGTACCTCGAATCCTCCGATGACGAGCAGGGCGTTGATGTTATGGACCCTCATCTGCTCGGCTATTTTATCCAGATGTTTTCCTGGAAGAGTCCTGGAACAGAGACAAGAGACAAACGTTCCACTTCAAGTTCGACTCCATCTTGATCAAAGAAGTCGATGTGCTGATCAAAGTCGTTATCAAACTTGTAATTGCAAGTTCATTACATTTTAAAGATATAAATCCTCGTTCCGTTCAGTTTTTCTGTGACTGCTGCGATTTACCTTTTAGTCCCGAGCAGCGACCCTCCCTGTCCCGTCCAACCACCAACATCGCCCCATTTGATCTCTTTGATCTGACAAAAGAAAGTCGTCAAGATTATTCTTCTTTTCCCAAAGTTGGACTGAAAGTCATCGTCTCCAAACGCTCTTTATTACGCTCGTAAAAAGTCTTGAGTAAGAAAAACGCCTCAGAGTGAGTGTGCTCCTGTTCCCGCTCGGAGATAATTGACTGAATCATCCTGATTTTAAATCCTAAATATCAAACATGATGATTCTGTGGGAGCTTTGAGATTTGGCTCCTAACTCCTCACACGACCAGACAATCTTGAAAAACATATATTGTGTCTTTTATATTTTATTTAGATGACACTCAGGACTCATTTCTGGAGCTCTACAAATAAAATGTATATATCGTCTGAGGGTGGAGACAGATGTAAATATCTCAGATTAAATATATAAAGCACCTGTCAGACAGAACGAGGGATAAATGATCCGTGTGGAGCACAAAAAAAAAAAAAAAAGCAGTTAATCTGTGAGTGTTGCAGAAGTTAGAGCCCTGACACGTTATCTGCTCTCGTCAGCTTTATCCAGAGATCACAGCTTCACTTCCCAATCACGTCTAATCCTGCAGCATGTCAGCTCCATCAACAGGTCAGTGTGTGTGTGTGTGTGTGTGTGTG